TAGGGCAACTATGTTATAATGTCACATTAAGTACAAACAATGAAGAGATTATTACTGTAGAGTCTAGACAAAAAGATATAAAATTAACTATAATAACTATTTAAACTGAAAAATAAAAACAAGTTAAAAGCAGAATATAAACACGAGTACTTAACTAAGAACATAAATATTAATTTGCAGAAATATGAACACAGATTATCTAACGTAATAAAATCTAACTTTTCTAATTAAATCCATTTCTACGTTTGCTCAGAATTTTTTTTTTCTCAGAAGGTACTTTTTTTTCTTAAACGATGATTACTTTTTCACTTTCTAAAATTTTCTCTCCCATAAAAGTTGTAAATCATCAACTAACGATTTTCAGCAAGGCAAGAAATAGGGCAATTATGTCATCGTCTCATTCTTAAGTACCTTTCATAAAGAAGACTTGTCTCATCAAAAGAAACAACTTGTAACCAGGTAATTATTTTGGTATTAGTGGCACTCTGTTATTGTTCAAGCCTAACATGATAGCGAATCAAGACTTCCATTTTTAAATTCTTTGCACATTCTTCCAGTTTTTTTAGTTCTTGTTTTTATTGAAGTAAATAACGGTTTGTAGACTTTATGAACTGATTTTGAAGTTCGTTGCCTTACTTCTTGCTCGGAAGATAATACCCGGTGTTGTAATAAGTATTTTCGTGACTCAGTTTTAGCGCACGCGTGATACAGATTTTCCTTCAATATAATTTCCTCCTACGCTAGAAAATGTTAAGTTCTACTGGCTTATATCTTTTAATGTTAATATCTTTATAGCTCAAGATAATATGAGCTTGCTTTAAAAATTAAGGTGCACGTGCATTTTTTAAATGTGTTAGTTTGTTTTTTACTTGTGTTAGACACCAAACTTATTAATTTAAAAAAAAATTCAATTTTTTTAAAATTTAATTTTTTTAAAACGTGTTTTTTTATAAAAGATGTTAAAGACTAGTTTATAAATAAAACAGTTCGCGTAAGTAGTTAAATATCCTTACTTTTTTAAAATTCATATAAGACTAAAATACAATTAAGGCTAGAATATTTAGTATAGAATGCAATCCGAAGATAAAATTCACTATTATACCAAACAAAGTCAATCTTAAGCAAACTATTTAATTTTTAAGTCAAATTACTGTATTTTTTCCGAGACAAGTAGAATTTTTCTACACTGTAAGAAATTCCGGATCAAATGCCGCTAAAAGTTTTTACCGGGACGTATTGCAGAATAAAAAATCTAATATACCTTCATTTCTGCAGTTATAATTACCGTAAAAATACTGAATCATTCTAATTATATAAATATTACTGTAATAATTAAGGTATAATATTTTTAAATAAAAATTGATTTTACGGTAAAATGGACTTAACGAATGATGCACTCAAAATGTCTGTACTTTATGACGTATTTTGATTCGTAATTATTTTCAGTATACTTCCATTGAACACTCATTTAAGTACTTGTTAGTATTCTACTTGTTTGCTAATTTACAAGTAAAAAAATTTTTGAAACAAATTCAAGTTTTTTTAGTTTTAGTTTTTTATGAATACATTTATTTAAAATCTAGTTCGTTTAACTACTATATTATGTATTAATAGGAAAAATATATTCTAATAATTCTTTTCAAAAATATTTAAATTATTTTTAAAATTCTCTTAATTATTTTTGAAAAATATTCTCCTTTTTATTAATTAAATTAGGAATTAGTACTATTTAATTCATTTGTAGAGTAATTACGTTCAGCTAACTTAACGTTTGAATTAAAGGCTTTTGTATACAATATGATCGGAAAATTTATTAACTTTTTTTTCTGTATTTATTTGTAAGAAAAACGCTAGAACTGGGCAATATAGAATTATTATGGTTTTAGCACATATTTATGGGTGTTTAACTATAAGATCTTGATAAAGTTTCTTACTATAAAGTAAATATAGATGAATTTAGAATTCTATTTGAGCATTTAATCAATCATATCATGTCAATTTTCATGCTCATTTATTTCATGTCACAGAAAAAAAATTAGAAGGTATAATTTCGCTAAAATGTTTTTGAATATGTACAAAAAAATTAGATTTATTCATGCTTGGTACTGAGATAATTCCTGCATATTTACAGATTTTTTAAAAAGAAATATGTTAATTAATTTCATGCTACAATGCAGGACAAAACCGTAAAATTGCAGTGAACTGCGTTATAAAATTTGTTTTGTTTATTTAAATCTGTTTTTTTTTCTTTAATTTTAAGGTATTTATTTGAAATAAATTTATTTTAAATATAGGTTCAATAAATGTAAAAGTAGTAATAGAATTGAAACTTTACTAGTGATCATAAAAGTTAAAAAATATTTTTAAGTCCAACACAGATGTGAAATATTTTCTTTAATTTCTTTTAGGTCGAAACTTAAATAATTTATAAATTTTACCTTTTTAGCTCATTTGTTCGAATTATGAATTTATTTTCCATTTTGTTCGAATTGTTGCGCATTTATTCGAATTATAAATTGTTGGTAAATCTAAATGCAGTAACAGATTCAAAAATTCTCACGTGATTGAAAAAAAAAACATTTGAATCCAATGCATTTACACTGAAAGTATTTTCATTGAATTGATTTTAGTCAAAATTTAATTGATAGAGTTGCGCTAGATATGTAACTTTAAAATTGCTGTATTCATTCAGTTTGAATGCTATGATTGGTTCCGGGTTCACTGTTCTAAAATCACATCAATCACGGTGTGCAGAGTAAACGATGTAATAATAAGATCTAATAAAATAACCGAAAGGACAGACAATTGGTAGACAATCATGACAAGAAATTCATCTCATTTTCTATATCAATTGTTTGTGTATTCATTTCGGATACTTACCTGAGCTTCAGGTGTTAATGATCCTTAGTATTGCCATAACCGATTGTATTAAAAGAAAATACTTCCTTGAATAAGATATGCATAATTTATTCCTATTATCTACTGTGTGCATATGATTACAGTGAGAATAGAGCTTAAAATATTTGAACGATATTTTAGATATAAGTTCAATCAAGTCAACTCAATTCCATCTCATCAATAAAACTAGATCAATTATTTTACAGAAGTTTAATGGGAGGGAAAGAATAACTTATTTTTCCTTATTGCGTTTTGCCTTGGATGATTGTTTTGTTTTTTCTTTTAATACAAAAATTAAGGTTTCCGACTATTTAAATATAGTATATATGTTTAAAATCATCATATAAGATTATCTTAATTGAATATTATGAATATTCAATTGAAATATCTTAATTGAATATTTGGTAATAAAAAGTGTTACTTTTTTAATTAAAGTAAATTACAAAATGTATCGCTTAACTTATTTCAGTTAAACCTAATCCCATGCATGAATGACTATGATTTCATCTTTCTTTATGAAAACACAAGTAGATTGTTATAAACATTCAAATTATGCAATCATATTTTACTGTTCATTATCCGATAGCTATACAGATTATAAAATTTGATTATTGATATTAATGACTGATGATTTTTAAACTCATTCACCATTTTGCTGCACATATTATGAGTACTTCATAATCAGTTTATTGGCATCTCGTTTAAAATTTCTTTTTGCCATAATTAATTTAAATACTTTGATGTAGATATTTATGTAAATGATCTAATGACTACATTTAATGCTATTGTGTAATGGTTGATATGATTGTGCTTAATTGTTGAAATATATTTTTGACCCAATAACAGATTAAGTTTGACTTTGTAAAAATTGCACTAAAGTATCATCAATCATTGCATTAAATCCAGCTTGACGATGTTAAAATACTTTCAATCATGAAAAACCATAAATTAAATAATCTGTGGAAATGTTAAGAGATGCATTCATATGATGTGTTTTTTAAAATAGTAAACAAGATTATTATTTTGAAAACTCTCTTTGTTTATATCCAAAAATTTAAATAGTTTTTTTTTATCATTTCTAATTGTGTTTAAATTATGTAGAACAAGAAATATGTCAACGAGATAATCAATAAATTAATAAATCAATGATAATCAATTTTTAACATAATCAACGGATTGTTTACGGTTGGTCGTTTTCTCATTTAGTTTTCCGATTTTAATATAGAAGGAAAATACTTTATTCTGATAATGCCTTAATTTTTCTGAATGTTATTATTGTAATAAGTGATCTATCGTATGATCTTCTGAATGTTATCATTGTATAAAGTGATCTATCGTATGATATTCCGAATGTTGTCATTGTATAAAGTGATCTATCGTATGATCTTCTGAATGTTATCATTGTATGAAGTGATCAAGTGAATGAATCTTTGAGCTACTTTTAACAGTTTCTGTTAAAATTTATTAAATGCAGATATAATTAACTATTTTATAGTTACTTCTTGTATATAAATTTTCTAAAACCTTAAAATGCTAGATGAAAATGAAAATTGCAGTTTGTTTTTAAATTATTAATTAAGAACAAATTAATAGTTCCCATGAGNATATTCCGAATGTTATCATTGTATAAAGTGATCTATCGTATGATCTTCTGAATGTTATCATTGTATGAAGTGATCAAGTGAATGAATCTTTGAGCTACTTTTCACAGTTTCTGTTAAAATTTATTAAATACAGATATAATTAACTATTTTATAGTTACTTCTTATATATAAATTTTCTAAAACCTTAAAATGCAAGATGAAAATGAAAATTGCAGTTTGTTTTTAAATTATTAATTAAGAACAAATTAATAGTTCCCATGAGCGTATTGCTTAGGTTAAACAATTGCAATAATATCGTAAAAATAAATAAATTGAATGTGGTTTTAGAAACCTTAAGAAATAAACTTAATTTATTAATTTATATAATAATTATAATATAATAATTATAAAATTGAATAATTATGCATCAATGAAGGCATTTGCCTCATTTTTGAACAGAAATTGTTTTCATACAGTTTAGTCAATAGTTAGTTTAGGAATCATAAAATATAACGCTACCTGTACATGGTTTCTTTTTGTCAAAGACGCTGTTACTTCAGATTTCGTCGCACCTATTGAAAATATTTATTGAGTTTAGAGAAAAATGGAAATTTCAATATTTATAATATTTTAATATTATAATATTTAAATAATACAGTAATAATATTTTTATTATTATATTATTATATGAAATATTAATATGTTTTAAATATAAAAAAATATTTAGAAACTCAAAGGAAGTTTATAAGTCAAAACTTTCTAACCCGTAAAAAAGCCAGATTTAAGCTGTTCGCCCACCGTGTCAATAATTAAATTGGTTTTAAGTTAGTTAAGGACAAATAAATCAAGGAAAAATAAATAAATTCTTAAAATGTAGAAAACATTTAAAAAATAATGTGAAAGATAATTTAATTTGATTTATTTTATTGATTTATTTATTTTTTGATTTATAATTTAATTTATTTTGTTAAAGTTGATTTTAACAGTAAGCATAAAAAATATTAAAAATACTTGCAATAAAAATGCTTTGTTTTCCTGCTGTCGTGAAAAAAATAAAATTAATCTTTTTAAATTATATTTCTGCTGTATTTGATTTATAAGAATAATATTTCGTAGCTGAATAATTTTTGTATAAATTTTTTACTAGTTCCTTATTGGTTTTATATGGTATTTTTTACATAAAGTTTAAATAAGAACTGAATTAAATTAATAATTTTAAACTAAAAAAATTAACATTGATAAATTGCGATTTTTAATTTCATCAACAAAATTGTTTTCGAATTAAAAATACGTGAATCAAAGTCAATGATGAATAACAGAGGGGGAAAATATTGTTTCGACAAATGGTAAGGTATACAACAAATGGTTTTCCAAATAAATAAGAGATTTATCTTCTTCGATGCCTTTTTCAAAATATTAATGAAATGATTTGTTTATATCACATAGATTTTTTCAAGATATTAGTTTCATTTTTGCTAAATGTGAATGAATAGATAATAAGCATGGTTGGCTAAATTAAATGTAAACTAAAGGAAAAAAACCCAAATAAAATGCATGTTTTTAAATTATAAATTATTTTATAATTTAAATTAAAAACGTATTTTGTTTAAAGAGGCTTAAAACAAATAAAATACTAAGCGTAATATAAGAAGAGAAAATATTCAAAATTTATCAATATAATTTTGTTTAGGCCTAAATATTTAAAAAAAGTAGTTTTTTAACACTAATATGGAAGATGTTGCACAATAATATTGTTCAAATTTGTGACAAACTTAATGTGGTGCTAAGTTGAATCACATTATTTTGAACTAGATGATGACATCTAATCTTATACTTATAACTCATGGATTGGTTCAACTCGAGAGGAAATTAAAATTCAATTTAGTACCTTATTTAAATTGCAGTTCCTTTGCACCGTTTAAGGCACTATATAATTCACTTATAAAACAATTTTTTTAAAAATATTTTATATATTTTTTTAAAAATTGATTTAATAAATATTGAGTTTTTTTATATTTATAAAATGTGTGAATAGAATATAAATTTGAATAATTAGAATTTTGACGAAAATTTTCTGTGCTGGATTTTTACATTACATTTAAATACATTATAATTAAATACATTAATTAATAAATGTTTGCATTATAATTAAATTATAATCTACATACCTAAGTAAAATACAGCGTATAAGACTAGTTTCCACATTTTAATAATGTTTCGTTGAAGGATACTTCACATATCTATTCACATACTTCTGCTGTATATCTGTAAATACAATAAAATTTAATACACACAAGCATACATATACACACATTTATCACGTAATATAAGACCATTTTTTTACCGTTAATTTTACCAAAATCATTACCATAGTGCTTCAGTAAAAATTACAGAGCTTTTTGGTGTTCCCACAGAGCTGGAAATACCATTTTACCGTATTCTGGTAGTTTTTGCCATATTTTTTTCTCAGTGTAGTCAGCTCTGAAGGTTGATTGAGAGTTGATCATAAACTTCACATAGGAAAAATGTTGTCTAATTAGACTCATTACGTTTGCAATAAATTTTGGTTATTTCTCTAAATTAGTTTCTGCATCTTTTTATAGTAATTTTCCAAATAATACTTTTGAAGTTCTAAACACAGAAAAAATAGGTCGCTCCAGTGTTTTGACTAATTTTATTCTCCTTATATTCAAACAATATCTAAAAATAGCCCAATGCAATTCAAAAACAATTTTAAAATGCATTTGTAAGAAAAAATGCCAGTTTCCTTTATGGTAGATATACATTTGAATTTCATGGAGCTTCCATTACTATTCACCTTCAAACGCAAAACAGTCACCCATGAAAAATAGTTTTGACGGATCGCACTTAGATATTTAAATGATACCAAAAAACCATTTTTGAAACGAAGTCGAAGTAACAATTCAATTGCAAATTTCTTTCAATTTCTGTTTGGTTTCTAGACCAGCCATTGTATTTGACCTATCTTATTCGGTGGAATATCCCTTACAGACCTTCAACCTGTGACAGTATTTGGAAAAAAGAAGATTGCCACGCTCGGATGAGTTATGGCCAAACGAAACGTGCCAATTGCGGCAAATTGAACGTGAGGTAGCCATTCGCAAACTATTCAGTGCCGCGGAAAATAAATCATTTCATTTAAATAATTTCGGGTAATTTATTTTATTTGTTTCCATTAAAAATTTTTTATCCCGATGCATCCACTGGAAAAACTTCCACATGAAATTGCGGTAAAAAGTGCCATTTTCCGGATATGCCCATTTTTATTGGATCACGTTACGGAATAAAATATTTGATATACAGTAATTTTTACAGTAATAATAATCGCAAAATCACTGAATCACTGTAATTAAATTATTATTGTAAAAATTACGGTATAATATTTTACGGTAAAAATGGATTTTATGGAGGATGCATCCTTAGTGCTGGTAGTTTAAACCGTAATTTGATCCGGAATTGACCCGGAAAAATCTGACATACAGTAATTTTTGCAGTAATAATTACCGTAAAATCATTGAAACACTGTAATTAAATTGATATTACCGTAAAAATTATTGCATGATATTTTACGATAGAAATGGATTTTACGGATGATGAATCCTTAGTGCTAATAGTTTAAACCGAAGTTTGATCCGGAATTTTTTAAAGTGCACCTGTACTTTCTTGGTAATTTTTTTTCTAAAAATTGCATATTTTAACACAAACAGAATATTCTTTTTCAGTAAATGCATAATTTTGCTGCATATGGTCTCTATATTATTCAGATGGATTAAATGAGTGATTTCTCTTATTATGGATTACAAAAATATTAATAAAATCAAGACAGTTTTCTAATGTTTTTTCATAAAACATTGCATGATTCCAAATAAATAATTTATTTATATAATTTAAAAGTTCTAAAACCCCTCTCGGTATAAAAATAATAGGAATAAAAAAATCTAATATACAGTAATTTTTATAGTAATGAGTAAAATCCCTGATTAAATAAACATTACTGTAAAAATTACGGTATAATATTTTACAGTGAAAATGTTTTATAGTAAAATGGAATTTATGGATGATGCAACCAAAGTACCGGCACTATATACCGTAATTTAATCTAAAATTTTTTACAGTGTGGCTTTTCGTAAAAACTAAATTTAAATTGTGAAATTAATTTTTAAACAGTTAAGTTTTACGCATCGAAGTTTAAAGGAATAATATAAATTGACGCGTGTTTTTCTTTCATTCGTAACGCGTTATGTCCTGCTTGATTTTCCTTATTTCCTTTGATAATAAACATTGCCTGTAATTAGAAAAGTTTAGACAGAAATTTTTTTTAAATGCAAAAAATTTTCATTTCAAGTAACATTGTTTTAAAAGAAATAATACTTTTTTAAAATAAACAATGAATTTCTTTACGCCTAGGGAAATGTTGTTGGAAACATTAATATAAAAAAAAGGTTTTGGGAACGAAATAAAATTGTTGTATAACCGGATTTATTGAGTTCGAAATAAAATATTGCTCACTTTATAACAGCATTCCCGCAAAAGACCTTTGTGAATCTGGTGAGTTATAAAATTTCTAATTCACTATTTCATGACCCACAGAATAATAGGGGTAATATGGAAAGTATTGCGTACGAGCCATCTTTACTTCCCAAGCAAGCTGTTACTCATTACTCTAAATCAGGTGGTCTCCAAGCTGGCATTGAGGATCTTTGTTTTTACAATTTAAATTTTGACAAGCAGAATTTTCAAATATTGTCACCATTTAAGATAAAATCTTCAGTTTTTATATATGTTTACACATCATATATATATGAGAGATAGGAAACAAAATTATATAATAACAGTTTATAAAGTTTATTGTTAAATTCAATACGCATTAAATTGAATGTGAAATGACAGACTATCAAATATTATATTTTAAAATGATAGGGCTTAATACAATATTAAAAATGTAAATATAGTTAATTTTAGTAAAAAGTTAAAAAATTTTTTTTGTATGCTTAGTTTTAAGAAATATTCAATTTTAACTTCAAAGTGACAAAGATAGACATAATTAATTCATTTAAATATTAAAACTCTTAAAAACTGAAATTACTATAATTTTTTTTAAAATTATTTCTTTCTGAAGAAAAAAAAAGCAATTTCATATTCCAATTAGTGTATGGATAGTTTTTTACTACAGAAAATTAATGGCAAGAAAGGAGATAGTTAATGCAATAAAAAACATCAATTTCCAACTGATAAAACTTGTAAGTGTTATTTTGATAAATAAAAAGAAATAAAGTTAGTTTCTTAAAAAAATATTTCAGTAATAAGTTCAAGTATCATAATGGCGTGACAAAATATCATTAGTTCAGAATTATTAATGAATTTATACTTAATGATCGAATAAAGACAAGCCATAAAATAACTGTTTTAAAAAATAAGACATCATAATAGCTCCAGTATGATAATTTTGTGAAATAAGTAGGTTTTCAATGAATAGAAAGGGAAATAGGTGTGTGAGAAAAAAAATAATAGACAGGTAAAAATATTTTGGAATCAAAAATTTCCCACCCTCATTTATTTAAAAAAATATTCTTTGCTCTCAATAAAAACAAAAAATTTAAACTGCGAGTTTGTCTGTCACTATTATGCCGTCACAGCCGTCAATCGTTGTACCGACTATCTACTTTTGTCAAAACATTATGTTCAGATATAACGTGGTTACTATTCGGCTGTCTCGAGAACCCCTCCAGACTTGCATGCTTGGGTTACTATGGTTACGAAGAGAAGAAATAGTGGCACGAAGTTAAGCGTTTCGCAGAGGTCTAATGCTGAGAAAGCCATATTATTTCTTCAATTCTACCCTCATATAAATAGTTTTACTATTCATTGCATAATAGATAACCTGTTACTTTTAGTCTAGAGGAGTTCTTGTTATATCTAGCCAGTACAACGCAGGTATAAATAAGTACATGGGGAAGCTATCGAAGCGTTGAATTCTATAATGTTGTATAACGCATATAAACGGTATCTTTTACCTCCTGTTCGAATATAACATTATTACTGTCCGGCTGTCACTAGAACTCTTGACACCAGACTCCCATGCTGGTGGTTACTGCAGTTGTAAAAAGTTAAGTCCCTTTAAATAGAGGCGTAGAGTTAACCTTTTCGTAGTAGTTTAGGTTGGAAGAGTAATATTCTTTTTTCCTTATTAGAAATGATTTTACAGTTAGACAAACAGACAAGCTCAGCTTTAGAAGAGTTCTCGTAGTTGATAGACAGTAAAAAACAGGTCTAAATTGCGTAGTGAAAGTTTCAAATGGTAGAGTTCCAGAATGTTGTTCATTTGCGTTAAGTGCGCCTTTTTTTAAAAATTGTTATAAGACCTGATTCTTATTTTTAAAGTTGAAAAAAATATTATTGTGGCTAAGAAAATCACAAAAATGCACTATGATAAATCCTACCTGCGGGAACTGAAATCCCTTATTACAAAAAACAGAACTGATGATACAGTATTGTGAGTGTAGAGCTTAAGAATAACATTATCAGTATTTCATTATTGAAGGTAACGACATTTTACACCTTTTGAAAATAATTAAAGAAATCTTTCGAACAGTTATCGAGAATAATTAGTAAAAAATAGCAAATTTTGTTTTTTTTATAAAGTTTAAAAGCGATGCATGAACTGAAGCATTTTTATATTTATTTCAATGTCATTTTTAATTAATATGCACACTGTTTAAAAATAAAACAAATATTATGATTTACATTCTTAACTAATTAGCACGATTTAAAAATAAAGCGGTTTGTAAGATTTTATCACCCAAAATATATGATTAACCTTGCAGTAAAACAAGTAATATATGTTTAAGGTTGATGTAACATATAATTAATTCTAAAATACCAGTATCACGTTGATACCATATTTTGCCAGAACCGTAATTAATCAAATTTCACAAGGCATAAAGTTTTCAAAATAAGTACCATATTGTTGTAACTAACATGCAATAAAAAATTATGTATTTTTTCAAAATTTTAAAGCCGGTAATTGATATCTTTTATTTCATTAGCGCTCATAATTTATTCTATTATTTAACTGTGATAAAAACATATTATTTATGACATAAGTAGAGCATTTTTAGTATGTAGTTATCATTGCCATATAAAAAATGCTAGACTTAAAGTTAGCAAAATTAAAGTTTGAAATACTTTTCAAGGCGAAACAATATTAAAAAACTGCAAAAATAATAAAATTACTCACAGAATAG